AGCCTTTTCAGTAAAATGGTGAAATTCTTCGCATTTGGTGCATTTTGATATCGCAACCGTTCAGATAGAGGGTACGCTGAATTATTAGTCCCAATAATTTTGGTCATTGCCAATTTGGCTCATTCCCACTGTCGCTGAAAGGGGCAAAAATGAAGAAGCGGGCAGATTATGTGGGATAAATAGCGGAAAAGGACGAAGAATGCTCGTTTATTAGCATCACTCCCTGCCAGCCTCTGTGGCGCTGTATGTCTCAAGTAGGTTCAGATGGATTCTTCGCCATTGAACTGGGAAGGAACCTTACAGAGCAAGTGGAAGTGCTAAAACTTGGAAATTTGTCACCTTTCGCGATTATTTATAGTTGCCACTCATTTGAGCATCGGCATTCTCCCAAATCATTTTTCATGCACTGGTTGTATCTTACACGAATTTATGCTTTTAGTGTGCTAATTTGTACATTGTTATGTTGTCGCGGACTTTTTAGAGTAGTTGTAGTTAAGAGCAAAGTTATCTTCTACTGGGAATTTAAACACTTTTACAGTCTTCCTTTTTTACGTTCCTCGCCTTTTTAAGTCGAAAATTCCATATCTAGAACCCAATTTTTTTAGCTTTTAATACACTGGTATGGCTAATAAATGTTCTTAACTACTTATCTGTCAGAGAGTCAAGATTCGACAAATAGCACAAAAATTCTATAAGAATAAATCTTAACCCTTACTATTACCCTTATAGCGATTTTAAGAGAGCTACATGCTTTAGTTACCAGTTCCTAGTTTTTTTCCCAGGTGGGTCTCTACTATTTACTTCTATGTGGAGCTTGCAATGCAAATACTATTTATCTTTCTGTGCCATAAAGGTTTGCCTTGATTTGATACTGTATATGTATATATTGATGCAACCTTGAAGTTCTAAACATTTGAGGAAGAAACAAGCGTTAGAAAGAAAGGCTTCTGACTGGATGAAAGCGGTTGAAATTATACGGCAAGGAAATATCATTTAAGCAAACACGATTATAGATT